GCAACAGCAAAGGTGAGAGACATGAATACCAATTTGTTCTGTCTTGAAATACAATTGGCCTTGGAAAGGTTTTGCAGAAAACATATAAATAACAGTAATGTATTGTTTGATTGTAGAGTTTGGCTCAGAGCTCTCAGAGGGCAACGAGGATGACATGAAGACTTTCAATGAAGACAATTGTCTGCACTCACGGTACCAGCATCCAGAATGATCTTAATGAAATACTTTAACAATGACCTTCAATTCTGTTGTCTGTTACACATTGCTCCCCGGGCGCTGTACGATAGGTGCCCACTGCTCCTGGTACTAGGATGGGTTAAAAGCAGAGAACACATTTCCCTGTGTGCTCTGCATGTGTGACCATTAAAGAGGGCTTCATCCTCCAATTCTATCTATTCTATATAACAACCTCCAATCGTTGGTTCCTAATTGTGTATTCCTGCTGTAGGGGGTCTGAGTATTTTGGAGACAGAACGGAAGCTGGTGTCCTCTGAAGTTTGGGCTAAGCTAAGGGAATACTTCCCCAAAGCCCCAGAATTCCCCCAAAACCAAGAGCCTTGCCAGCTGTGCCTGGTGAGTGAACTGACGCTACACCCAGTGCTGAAGCACACTGATACCTCACCTGCATCCTTACACGTTTACTTTCTGAAAGTGTTTTCTCTAAGCCTAGCGGTTGCAGGTGTAAAGATGGAACTTTATAGAACAACTGCTACACTATATGGACATTTCAGTCATCCATCTTTAATTATTCAGAGTAATGGTGTTTGTCAATTGCTGCTGTTGTATGTCCGTTGATCCAGTTATCAATCAGACAAAGTTTTGCAAGGGAGTGTTGTTATATGTGTAACATCACTAAGATTAGTTTGACGTGTTTCATGTTGTCCTCACTATCAACAATATGGACCAGCATCAGAAAGTTAGGAGAAAACAAGCTGATAGATTTACATTTTGAAGTGTACCTTAGCTACGAAGGCCATGTGCGTAGGCTCTGTTAAAGCACTGTAACCTAAATGTTGAACTTAAAGCCCAAATAAAGACTGTAGATATTCATAAAAAAACACTGTTCTCTTAATCTTAAAATCAGGTCAAGCTGATTTGATATAGCACTTTTCATACACAAAGGTAACTAAGTGCTTCACATTTGGAAGCCAAATCCAAAATGTGGGTCTTGAGATTGCTCTTAAGAGTATGCACGCTCCCTGCCAACCTCAGCTCTTCTGTGAGGCTGTTCCACAATCGTGCGCAATAATACAACGAAGCCTCACCGAAGGTCTTTGTTTTCGCTTTGAATATGATTAAAAGGATAAATAGCCAGGCTAGAGCTTTTTGAAGTATTTTCAAATCTTAAGAGAGTGAAACATTGGGTTAGTTGTAAAAACAAAGCTTTTCCTTCTTGTGTGTCCAGACTCTAGAGCAGGAAGAAAAGGACAACGAGGCGGTAAGTAAGATGATGGCCACGGAGCAGAAGAACCAGCTGCTCAACCTCTTCAATGAGAAGAACCGGCCAATCCTAAACAAGTGGCCTGAGGTAGACACACCGCCAAGCACCTCTTCACACAATACACTTATTGAAAAGAGGACACATGTCTATAAAGAATAGAGCAATAGAGGCTCAATGGGCATGATATATTAGACTAAGGTCGCATTCACTCCAGCCTTGTATAGTCCGGTTGAATCGGAGCCTGTTTTAGGCGTTTAGCCGCTTGGTGCGGTTCATTTGAGTCGGTGTGAACACAATCCGAGACCTCTGAAGTGAACTAAACAAACCGGACTCTGGTCCGCTAAAATAGGTGGTCTCGGAGCGCTTGCTTGCGAACCCAGTCCGCACCAAAACATAGGAAGCGTAGTATTTACGAGTCACAAGAACGCAGATGTCTTAAAAATCTTTAGCAAAAGAGTCTTTCAAGACATCCGCGGTTGTTTAGTTAAAGTGTCGTGTAAAGTAACAATTCTCCGTCAGCTACATCAAAGTAAGAACACCTGTCGTCGGTGAAACGCCCTCCTTACTGCAGAACGTCTCTCATGTGTTATAATGTTTTTTAACGGACGTTGTCTGATTATATAATCATATGCGCGGGCCGCTAGTGTCTGTTGATCTCCAGATTAACAGCAGCATGAGAATAACCTGCCGAAAGTGCCGATGCTCCATGGCGGAGGCTCCGGTAGAAATTGCCGGGATTTGCGTTTTTACCCTCTTAATGTCTGACCAATGGTTGAACAGCATTTCCGTGCACATGACTTGTGTTTAAAGTTTATAGTCCGTTTGAGTTTTGCCTGTGTGAACAGTAAACCGAACCTTCTGAAAAATGAAACAATGTAACAAACTGTGGTAGCGGACTATTAGGTGTGAATGCACCCTAAGTGTTAGAAATTGCATGTGTGTAACCCTCCTCCCCCTCAACAAATCCATCTCTTTACTGCACAGTGCCTCTTGTGGACAGGAGGGTTACACACATGCAATTTCTAACACTAAGACATATATTTATAGTGCAGCATGAATTGCCCTTTAATATCATCATGACAATTCAGCAAATGTTATGGTACACTGATTCAGGTGAATACAGCAACTGCTCTCTTGTCTGTCTCTCCAGGACAACGATGTACTTTACATAGTCCCGCTGTTTTTTGTGGAGGAATGGAGAAAATTCATAAGGTATGTTTGTTTGCAGAAATGAATCAAATACAATGAGTGCGTTTGTAATCACAACAAGAATTAATGACTATGCAATCAGGAAAAGGTTCATCCTTCCATAACATGAGTTTCTAAAAACAGAAGTTTATGAGTTGTCTGTTTTTAGTAATGACTTGAACCAATTCATTCATTTATTTAGTTTGCATTTAGATTGTCCCTTTCACTTCTGATTTGGCCAGTCACTTATGTTGAAAATGTGTAATTGCAAGTTGAGTTTTGAAGTGGTTCTTTTTCTCTCCTCTGTGTGTGTGTTTTTGTAGGAGGCCCACTAAGTCCTCTCCAGTGTCTAATGTAGGCAACACTCTGCTGCTCTGTCCTCACGGAGGCTTCATGTTCACCTATGACTCCCTCATCAACGGAGATGCACAACAGTGAGTTCTGCTTATTCAACTTAAGAGAACTAGCTTTTCAACTTCCAACCAAACCAGATAACCCGTGTTTCCATGAGAATCATACCTCTGACAAAGACATAGAATACAACTGGAAGAAACAACTTCAGAGGTGGGGACGGTACTCATATATTGTACTTAAGTAGAAGTACCAGAGTGTAGGAATACTCTGTTGGAAGTCAAATCCCTGCAAACCAAATGTTACTCAAGTCAAAGTAGTCATTGTGCAGATTGGTCCATTCCAGAATAATATATGTGACCTGCTCTATCGAAATCAGTCGCATTGACCCGAAGACACATTTTGAGTTGTATACACTGCTGGAAAGAGGATATTCCTAGCTTTCTAATGATATCAGGATTGTTTTTGTACTCCAAATATTAAGAGAAATATGTCACATTATATAATGACTGTCACCGAGTCATCATTTTGAGAAAAAGGTAGGGATGCACCGAATATTCAGCCGCCGAAAATTATCGGCCGAAAATGGTTAAAAAGGCTCTTTCGGCTTTCGGCCGAAAGGGTTTTAGCACCGAAAAAATATCACCGAATGTCAGGGAACAGGGTTACGTTGGTAAGCTAACGTGTTGTTGTGATGACGTAATCAAAACGCGGCGACAAGCACGGTGCGCGACCATGCTCGCGGCTGGCTCACAGCCAACATGTCTGCCGCTTGGAGATATTTAAAAATATCAGAGAAAGAGGCGCGGATTGCGATTTGTAAAACGTGTTCAGCTGACATTTCTCGAAGGGGTGTAACTGCAAAGACTTTCACCACTTCGGGATTACTCCACCACTTGAAATCAAAACACCCGGACAAATATGC